CACAACTTGTAAATATTTCTTTTAGTTCAGCCACATGAACTTAATTTTGTTCCTTTGGTGGTGTCATGTCTCCTTGATTCTTCATATTTTTAAAGTTTTGTGTTGAAAGAAGCAGTCCCGTTTTCAAGTCTTTACTACCTGTCTTCAATAGAGGCCTTCACAAGTCAGCTTAACTAGAGATTTTGAGCGTCTCTCAGGCTTTTTTTATGGGTATGCCCACCCCACTGCTCTTTTATCCTGCTATGAGGAAGTCCTGGGACTGTGTGTCTTCTCTTGATCCTGTTAAGGCAGGCCAGGTGTTGAAACCCTCCTCTTTATTTTTCAAATGGCAATGCTCTGACATATTTAGTCTTGTGTGCCTTTTCCCAGTCCTGCAGCATTGAGCTAGCTGCTGATATACATGCACTCTGTGTGGGGATTTGCTCACACCATCTCAGGAGTGCATGTAGAATGACGAAGGTGCATATTAGACAGTAGGGGACACTGCTGGTGACGTTTTTCCATAGAGTTCACAGGTGGGCCTCTTATGGAGTCCCTAAGCCACTTAGTAGGATATATGGCCATATTTTGAGATCCGCACAGTGGTTGCCTTGAAGTCGCATCCTTTCCTCCCTGCTCCTGTTCCCCCCAAGACTATTTAGTCATGCCAGTCACCTCAGAAATCTGATAATGGGAAGACCAATGTAAGCCTCTTGGTTACCATTCCATAAAATTGGGGAAGCTAGGTCCACACTCAGCTCTCACTTTCCCCTATGGGAGAAATCATGGGCCTGGGGGATCTCCCTTAGCCATAGACTATGCTGCCGTAGAAGAGAGTGATGTGGGTAAAGTGTAACTGTTCTTACCCACTTAGTGTGTTTATCCTCAATCTTTTTTTTCCTTGAAAAAGGTTCTAGAATCTCTCCACTATGCAGTTCCTAGATCATTTTTAAAATCGATGTTGCTGTGGGGGTGTGAGGGCTGGAGTCTCCTATTCCATTATTTTGATCTTTGTGAGTTTTTTACTTTATTTTTGTTTGTACAAATTCCCTTTAAATACTAATATCCCTCTGTCCAAAAAAGTTATACCTTGTAAATATGTAAAAGAATTACTCAGCCTCATACTACTGTGCTCTAATCAGTTAAAGGCCTAATTCAATTATTTTAATTTGGCATGAGGACAATGGTAAATATAAGCATACAGATAGGTACTGAGATTATATAGTTGTGTAATGAGTCATAAAATGGCCATCTAGATAATTCAGAATATTCAGTTTTCCATTTGTATCTATGGAGGATTGGTTCCAGGACCTCCCATAGACACCAAAATCCATGAATACTCAATTCACTGATATAAAATTGTATGTAAATGTGGTATAAATAGTTGTTACGCTGTATTGTTTAGGAAATAATGACAAGAAAAAAAAGTGTGCATATGTTCAATAAAGACACATTTTATTCCAAATATTTTGAATCTAAGGTTTGTATTCCATAGATGTGGAATACAAGGGACTGACTATATTTATATTTTACATATATTAAACTGCTCAGAGAGTTCACACTCCCAGAAATTTGCCATGGATCTCAGTTTAAGAAACACTGTGCTAGACCAGTTTCCCAAGAACATGTTTTATTTCATAGATACCCTAATCACATCACCTAACTGGAACATACTGGGTACTAGTTAAATGTTTGTTTATTTAAAAATTTCAAGAATTTAAAGCAGCCTAGATGTCATAGGAAACCATTAAATAGGAATTTTCTAAATTAGCTCAACTCTTTTGTTCTTATGTTTCTCCAAAGTCCAAATATCTTTCACATACAGCTGTATTTGTTTGTTCTTACACTGCTATAAAGAAACATCTGAGACTGGGTATTTTATAAAGAAAACAGGTTTAATTGGTTCACGGTTCTGCAGGCCATACAGGAAGCATTGAAAACTCCCTGAGGCCTCTTCAAAAGTAGATGCTGCCATGCCAGGAAGCATGGCAGGAAGCATGCCAGGAAGCATGGCAGCATCTGCTTTTGAAGAAGCCTCAGGGAGCTTTCAGTCATGGCATAAGGCAAAGAGGGAACAAAGTGAAAGGCACTTCACATGGCTAGAGCAGGAAGAAAAAGATGGGAGAGGTTTACACACTTTTAAACAACCAGATCTCACAAGAACTCACACACTATTGTGAGGACAGTACTAGGAAGGAAATGTGCCTCCATGTAGCCTCCTTCCAGGCCCCACCTCCAACACTGGGGATTACAATTCAACATGAAATTAGGGAAGGGACACAGATCCAAATCATATCAATGGCTTTCAAATTTATCACTCCATTCCAGCTAACTGGATGGGAAAAAGAACATGGAAGGTTTTGATGGGCCCAGGCTAGTAGTGGTAAATAGCACTTTTGCCCTTACAGTGACTCAATTTCTATTACATGGCTACCCTGCAAGAAGTACCATAGTTGTAGTCTAGAGGTCTACTAAGAAAAAGTTGAAGATTTGTATTTTGATCAGCAGTCATATATGCTGCAGAGCTTCAGGTAGCGTGGTCACCACCAGTAGTACGTAGGACAAAGAGTACATGTATTAGTCAGCGCAGGCTCTGGAGTCAGTCTTTAACTGGAATCCAAGTGATGTCATTTCCCTGTCACTTCCGCATGAATAAAATGGATATTTTACACCTACTCCCTGGATTTGGTGATAAGATTAAATGAGATGATTGATTCATTGGACTTAGTACCTAGCATATGACCATTATTAGACAATTGTTATGTATTTTTATTAATAATTACCAGATACTATAATTGGCATGTGAAATAAAGCTTGTTTTC